TTAAAAAAAATTTTTTTGTTTGTTTTACCAGATTAAGCATTCCAGATTTTGGAGACTTTTCTCTATACAGGTAACAATACTGCGCTAATGAGAATTTGAGGAAAATTAACACTCATTTTGTTTTTTACAGAAAAGCTAACTTTTTAAAATGAATGAGCAAGAAAATGTTTTTCAAAAGCTATCCATGCTGACAGGGTATGCTTATGTCAACCACTTCCTATCTGCACACTGAAAAATGTACAACAGAATTTTCTAATCTATTTATCATTTTCTAAATGACTAGCTCCAAAACTAATAAAAAAGTAGGAACAGTTAGTTCCCAAATTAGTTGAATGGTATTATAGTTCTCTCCCTCTATCTGGTTTTTTGAGACAAGGTCTTGCTATGCAGTTCAATTGGCCTTGAACTCATTAGTCCAGGTTAGTCTCAAACTCATAGCAATGTCCTGTCTCAGGCCCCTGAGTTCAGGGATTACAGGAATGCGCCACCACACCCGGCACATGCCTGGTATTTTTAGGAAGTGGGTCAAAACACTGCTAATTTCTTTATTTTGGGACCCACTTGAGAAGTTTTAGTACATGACTTTTTAATTACTTTGTAAGAATGCCTAATTGGCATTGGGAATATGGAAACTCAGTCAGCCCTTCTGAAGAGGAACGTGGCATAAGTGCTGCTATACATTAGTAAAAATAAATCAACAATCTGCATTCTTCTATTCAGAAGATATGTTTATACCTTTTCAGCTTGATGACAAAAAACCCAACTAATAAAATAAGCTGGAGTATCTAACTTTTAAATGATGCTTTCAAAGATAATTAAATCAAGATTTAAAAACTCATGAGGCATACTATAAATAATAATATTAACATAATCAAAGTAAAATTTATTTTCTATTGGTGTGACAAGAATTTTTAAACAATTTCTCTTGGCTATTTGATAGAAAACTCTCATAAGTCTATGAGAAGAATTATTCAATCACCTGAAGTATTTCCTTTATCCACATAAAAACAAATTAATATGCAAATTAAATTTCAATAAATATAGTGTCATATATTTTAGTATATGTGTGAACACATATGAAATGTTTAAAAGGATACCAGCTCTGCAATATAGTTCAACACTTCATTACCAACTATTCCACATATGCAAATACCTTAGAAACCATTAATTTTTCCTTTATGTTCCCTGCAGCATTCACAAGCACTGAATTTTTAAAAGGTGTGACTGTATTACACATGCAAACAGTGCCATCTTGTGGCCGTGAAACTTTGTGCAGCTATATAAAAATTATGGTTAGTAACTGTCAGTATCTTAACAAGTTATATTATAGATTACTGAATAAAAATTCTTAGGCTAAAATCAGTTCACTAAATAAGAACACTGCTAAGCATGTTTTGAAATAGACATAATTTAAGAGGACACTAACTCCAGATTTTCTACTAAATCTTCCACTAACCAGACATATGAATCTTAGACTATGTAAATACTTGGGACCTCAGTTTTCTCAGCTTTAAGATTATTTAAGTCATTAATGAAGTTACTTTCAAAGATTCCATTTGTTTCTATCTTTAGAAAATTGTATGAGTATTTGTTTCTTAAATGAAATACATGCCTGTTTACGGTATTTCCCCCTACAGATATCTCTTTTATTAAAATGAGTTTGCTTATGTACCTTGCTTTAACTTTCTTCACACTTCTCGTAGCCAAAAACAACCTCTCCCTAAACAATATACTAAGATTTCATAGAATTGTGGAGAATGTTATTAAAAATTCAAGTGCCAAAAAGATTTGAAGAAACATTCTTGTTTTTATACTACTGAAGCAACAATTCAAATAATGCTCATTTGTCAATCCTAAGAATTGAGAAATCCCTGGTACCTCAAATTCAATCAACTCAGATAGTCAAAATTTCCCAAAGGGCGCTTCATTTACCTATCCAAGCTGCATACCAACTAGAAAAAGGTTTGAGGTTCTTCCGCTAATTTATCTTAGGGAAATACTCAAATGTTCATTTATTCAACGAAGATTTATTGAGGATCCATTAAATACTATCTCAGATAATACAGATGTTAAAGAAATTAAAAGTGAAGGTCATGGCTTAGGCATACTCCAAGGCAAACTGCCCATATCCATAAAACCAAAAATTAAGTCATCTGATTTCCTGAAATGGTATCTCTCATCATAAACAAACTTAAACTTTATATTTATGTCCTCCATAGGGTGATTAAGCCAATATAGACAAATCAGTTTAACAATTCTATTTGTCATAAAAAGTAAACAAATGAACAAAAACAACAGTCCATCATGAAAAAGGTCAAAATATTTCCTTCTTTATGTCACATAAATAGTGCTGTAACTCTGTGAAGTAAGCTTCTTACCAGCCTTACCGCTTGGCCTGAGATTTCCAGGATAGAGAGCTGCATTTTCTGTATGACAATAAGTTTTTAGATTTACTGTAACTTGATATGAATTTTTGACACAGGAAATTAGGGTAAATATGATATAAATCATTACATAATTATTAACAATCACAGAAATCCTCTGAAGTAGCACTGTGAGATGCCCTGAGAATACTTGTTGAAAGTCTTACATAGTTTGAAGTCAAGCAAAATTTCTTTAACACTTAAGACTTAATGACTAATTAGGGATCTGAATAGATAAAAATGAAATTTCTAGCCAGCACAACGCACATTGTGGAAAGCAATGAGGTGGAAAAGATGAAGAGGTGCCAAATTAAGAGGAGCAGATCAGAAAGTACAGTGCACATCAGTCAGTGGCAGGGATAACGTTATAGAAAATGAGTTGTGATGCAATTTCATCATTGTGTGAATATCATGAAGTGTGATTATAAAAATCTAGATGGATAGCTTCCTACACATTTAGGTTATACTATATAGTACAGCACATGGCTACTAGGCTACAAATCCATTTCACTTATTACACAATAGTAGGCGTTTGTGCACCTAAGCTGATCTAAACATAGAAAAGATGCAATGAAAATACTAGATGACAGGAATTTTCAGCCCCATGACAATCTTATGGAAACACCATCATAAATATGATCCCTCGTTGACCAAAAATGTCACTATGTAGCACATGACTGTTATTCAAAAAGCAGCCACCACGGCAAGCAGAAGCCAGATAAGGTCAACTCCATGAGCCTCCATTTTCTTTAAAAAGCATATATATTTAGAACTAGATTCTAAACTCAAAAGGCACAGAACACACCTTTCACACTTTATTTTTATATCTTCTTATGGTGTAGATATTTATTGCCTTATTACCATAAATACTTCTTCTACAGAGAGAAATCACATTTTCTGCTAGACTTTTAATTTGCAGAATCTCTAGGTTATAGTAGTAATTATTTGAATTTGCAGACAATTTATAAATTGTATTAACATGAAACCAAAGAAATTCTTTCCTAAAATGCTAAGTCTCACCATATAATTCTTTTAAAAGGGAGGTAATTTTTACATGGAGAAAGGTGACTACCGTATCTACCAGAGCAATGCCACAATTTTGGCTTTAGCCCAGGTTCCCAGTGGAAGGAGGGATGGACATCCAATTTCCTTATTCCTTAATTTCCCCAACACCATTATTCTTCATATTAAAAACTGTGATTTATACACACACACACACACACACACACACACACACAGACTTAAGGCTGTAAGAAATGTTGTACTGGGTCAAGGTATCTCATTACATCCATTATTTTACTCTTCAAACTCAACATGTGATAGACAATATGCTGCAAAGCAGAATTTTAAGATGATCGCCCCAATTCCTGGCTTCTAGTGAGCACATATTATAGAATCCTTTCCCTTTGAGTGTGGGCAGAATCTAGAAATACGAGGGGTTGTCAACTTCATGAAAAGCGAGATTATCTGACATGATCTTATCTAATTAGATGAGTCTTTAAAAAGGACTGAGGGCTCTCCAAAGTCAGAGAAACTGGAACTATAAGGCTTCCTTAGCAAACATTCTGACTGGCCTCCTAACAGCTAGCAAGACAACAGGGGCCTTAGTCTAGCATGCAGAACTCTTGGAGGACATCAAACCTTGTATGTGATGACACTTCCAGGCTGATTACTGCCTGCAGGACACTAAGCAGAGTACGCACCGACGCCCTCTGCAGACTCCTTCCTTATTACTCAGGTAATAAACAGATGCTGTTTTTAAATCCGTCAATTTATGGCAATTTGTTATGCAGCAATAGAAAACTAGTACACTCAGGTATTTCTCCTGTAATTAACAGAATGCCCGGTAAACATTAGTTTTTCAGAGTTCATTTTTCAAGTAATTTTCCTTGTTAATTTTTTTCACAACTGACATGAACATTAACGGCGCATCATCCTTTTCATATGTTTCACTTTAACGCGAACTCATTTGTGACTGGAAATCCCCTGAAATTTTCTTCAGAGTTGCTGGGCCTTTCTGGTCCTTATTCCTTGTCAGCCGCCTCGCGGGGCGCGGGGTGGACAGAAAGCCACCTGCGTGGAGCATCAGCCCACTCAGCCCCGCTTCGCGACAAGGAGCAGAAAGCCACACCCCTTTAACCTTATTTCTCAGAAAAGCAGCTTCCCACACAGGATTCAGGCGCTCCCGGGCCGCAGTTTGGTTGCCGCGCGGGCAGTTCTTCCAAGACCTAAAGTATCCGGCGGAAGTTTCCACCATCCACTAGACACCACAGAGGTCCAAGGGCGCCGCATCTCTACACCAGGCACAGCTGCCAGACAGCTCACATCGGTCTGAAAAATCACAGATTCTAATCTAGCCATCCACCTTCCACCTTCTTTCCGAGCTGCGTCCCTTCCATCAAGAGCAGAGGCCCGTTCGCAGCGAACCCAACCGCGCCACACGACCACGTCACGCCCACCTACTGCGCCTGCGCATACTGGCTGGTCGGGCGAGGGTGGGCAGGGCCGGAAGAAGGGAGTGCGAGGGGCGGTGCTTAGCGGCGGCGCGCGCATGCGCAAGGGCCCCAGCGGCGGTGCGCTGCGTCGTTATTTTTGAACCTTAGGCGGGGAAGTGCTTTACGAGCCGGCGCCGTCTCTGTGTGCCGAGCGGGGCCGCGCGCCTGGGTCTGAAGACCCAGCCATGACGCAGCAGGTCGCCCGGGAGCAGGGCATCACCCTGCGCGGGAGCGCCGAAATCGTGGCCGAGTTCTTCTGTAAGTACTGCTCGCGCAGGGCGGGGATAACTGAGCTCCGCGGCCCCGGTCCCAGGCCTCCGGCTCGAGGAGCCCAGGGCAGGAACGGGGAAGGGGCGGAAGCGGGGTCCGCCGCCCCCTCGCCCCGCGGGGAGCCAGGCCGGCCTCGCGGTGCGGCCTTGGAGAGCGTTTGACGTTGCAGGCCTACCCCTCCGGCCTCGTCTCCTCCCTGCCCCTCCTCCGTCCTCCCTCCGCATCCCCTTGACCCGCTTCTCCCGTAGTCTGCACGCGGCTGAGTGGGGCAGGCGCGAGGTGCGTTTCGAGCCAGACTCCTCCCTCACTCCTAGCGTGGCGGAGCCTTGCTGCACCCGGCCAGCAGCACCTTCTCACCGAACCTGTGCGGGAGCGAAGGACTGAAAAGAGGGAGGGGAGGGGCTGAGGCATCCGCCCAGACCGTTGCTGATAGGGATACAACCGCCTGCCTGTTTGGACGTCCCCTGACCCCCATAAGCTAAATTTGGACTTTGATTACGGCGGTGAAATTTAACAGTGGCAGGTTAATGCAGTTTGACGATTTTCTTTTCCTGCAGCATTAAGTGCAGAGGTTTCTTGGAAGCAAGATTTTAAGGCCCTTTAGTGCCACTTTGTACCTATTCTGCTTTCAGTAAGAAGTGCAAACCGTTTTTTAGGCATTTACTGCTTTTTCATTTCTTTTGCTTTCAGCGTTTGGCATCAACAGCATTTTATATCAACGTGGTATATATCCATCGGAAACTTTTACTCGAGTGCAGAAATATGGACTCACCTTGCTTGTAACTACTGATCCGGAGCTCATAAAATACCTCAATAATGTGGTGGAACAACTAAAAGGTACTGAACCATGAACACTTCGAGTTTTACAGTTTTTCTAGGATCCACAGTCCACATTTTTTTTACTGTTTCGATTGGGTATTTTTCAGCTCTTTACATACAGATATTTCTTTTAAAAATCCGCCATCTTAAATATAGTGAATCTCAATTGGGAGGAAGCAAATAATATATAAATGGAAAGAAACCCTCCACTACATTTTAAGTGGGTTGAGTATTTTATATGAAGAATCTTACGTGGCTTAGCAAACAGTCGCCATCAACTCTCTTAGAAATGGCTTTTGCAGTTAATGTGTCCAGAAGAAACAGGTTGGACGTTCACATATTATAGTGTTCCATTGTCTGTTTGAGGAAGTATATTGTTAACATGATTTATTTTTTGTGACTGGAGTCTGAAGTCACTCTTACATTAAGATCAAGAAAACTTGAGCTCTTGTAGATCACTGTTGTCAGAATAGCAAGATGAGCCCTCTGTGATGGTGTGGAAATAGATTTCCATCTATCTCAAGTGCAAGCAAGCACTTGACAGGAATAGCCCACTTTCCCAGAGTTGCATTCAGAATCATAATGAGAGTGAAATCACTCCTGGTCATTAATAAGGCTACTTCCAGATCATTTGGCCTGGGACCTCTCGGCAGCTATGGCTCTCTGCAAGCCTCTTAATTTGGTGGAGAAGGAAGACTTGCCCAAGATGCTAGTTGTCTAGGTTATCTCCAGCGACATTTCACTTCATGTGTATCTAGATCTTATTTAACTTTTTATTTTGGTTAAAATAGAGGAATTGTTCCCTCTTAGAGTAAAATTGTTCATTTTGTTTGAATCCTGTTTCCACTAGCCTTTCAAGGACTTTATCCTCTTTTCTGTTGTAGATTTTACTTTTCTGTTTTGATTTGAATTATTCCCATTGGTTTCATCTCTTCCCAAATTACAATATAAATTAAATTACTACCCACTCTTAAGTTTTTTCAGATTGCTACCTAATCTCACTTTCAGGATAATAAAAAGTTGTTGATACGTGTTGTAATCAGCAGGCCCCACAGACTGAATACAATAGGTGGGCTGTTTTTGTACTGCCCATAAGCTAAGCATGTTTTTTTTGTTTTTTTTGTTTTTTTTTGGTTTTTCTGTGGTACCGGGAACCGAACTCACGACTTTGCGCTTGCCAGGCAGGCGCTTTTAGCCACTGAGCTAAATCCCCAGCCCGCTAAGCATGTTTTTGTTACCGTTTTACAGAAACCTTGACTGTCTCCTGAATATGTTATTCCAATTCCAAGATTAATTTAGGGCTCATTCTGAAGTCTCTTTTTCTCTTTATGATCTGTGTATGTTATCTTTGACGTAGTGCATAGCTTCACTAATGACTTGTGTAGTTGGCTCACAAAGTTGTATCTAACCCAAGTCTCTTATTCCATTCCTGTGTATCCATTGTCTTTATGTGCTAATTTAGAGATACTTCATACGCAGCATATTAAAAACAAAATTTACGATCATTTACAAAATTGGCACTCTTTCAATAAATAGCTTAATTGTCCAATGAGAAATATAAGTCAGAAACTTCGAAGCCACCCCTAAGTCATCCTTGTTGCTTATTCCCATAACTTATCTAGGGACTTAACGTTTTAACTATTTCATGTCTTTTGTGCCATCACTACCAGTGAATTCTCCTATATGTTTCACCTCTTGCTTGAATTACTAGTTAACTAGTGCCTCTAGAGTCCCTTTTTATACTCTAGTCCACTTTTTGCATTATAGCCAAAATGATGGTTTTAAAATACAAGTAATTGCGTCATACCCTGCTTCAAACACAGTAATATCTTCTCAGCTTTTTAAAGTGTAATTTCCTTATTTTGACCCACATTGCTTTGAGTCGTATGGCCCCCACTTTGATGAAGTTACTTAACTCATTCTCTATTCATTGCACCTGTACTGGCCCATGTTCAGTCCTCTGGTCACATTCTTGTTCTTTTTGATTATTGAAAGACTACGTTTTTCTATTCTTGTGTATTTGATGCCATAAATTCTTAAAGCTAAATGCAGTCTTTCCTTTACCTCCCTGAATCACATTTTTCTCTCATTTTACTACCTGTCTCTCTCTTCAAAGTAGATATCACAATTATAATTTCACTTTGTTGGTGTGATGGTTAGACTAGTACCCATCTGCTATGCTCTTAAGGTGAAATTACCCTATGTTCATGACTGTCTTCAGCATCTGGTATTATATTACTGGTGATACTGAGAATTTAAAAACAAGCTAGATTATTGATAAGCAGTTGCCTTACATGTGAGAAGAGATCTATAATAGCAGTGATAGGAATTTTCTGAGGATGGGAAATAGGACCTGAGAAGAGATTGGCTTTGTAATGCAGTGGACAGTAAAACTGCATTGTTATGTGTCGCAGATTGGCTGTACAAGTGTTCGGTTCAGAAACTTGTGGTAGTCATCTCAAATATTGAAAGTGGTGAAGTCCTTGAAAGATGGCAGTTTGATATTGAGTGTGACAAGACTGCAAAAGATGATAGGTAAGTATGATTTAAAATATTGCCAGTTGGGGCTGGGAATTTAGCTCAGCGGCAGAAGCGCCTGCCTGGCAAGCGCAAGGTCGTGAGTTCGGTTCCCAGTACCGGAGGAAAAAAAAAAAAAATATTGCCAGTTGGTTTTTCTTTTCCGGAACTTGGTTTATTGCTTCATGACTTCTAACTACATTGAATTAGTTTCATTTATAGTTTGTTTCTAAGGTGAGTTTTCTTCTTCAGTTACCTGTGGAAAATTCCTGTGCTCAGTTTAGTGTGTCATTAATTTGCCTGGTTAGGATATTTTTAACATAATTGCCTGTAGTTTGAATCAATGAAATTTGAACCTGAGGACTTATAGTGCTATATTTAAAAATATATGTTTAGATATACTAGCTGGGCCATTTAATCAATTGTTCAAAGGTACTTTTAACTGTTAAGAGATGACTCGCGATAGTGTTCCAACTTAAATTGTAGCTCTGCTGTACTTCATTGAGTGCCATGTACTACCTAAGACATTTAAAATTTTTGAAGATTCTATATTCCTTAGATGGCAACTGTTTGTTATAATGTGATGTTTAGCATTGTCCTAGTTCTGTAAACTCGAAACCATTTTTTATAATTGAATGTAGTTTGCTTCATAAGTTTTAATGTATTTTAGGAAAATTTTAATGTATAATAATGTTACATGTTAATGTTTTATTTGAGCCAACAGGAAATTAGATATTCAGGCATTATTAAAAATGCTAAAATCATTATACCAATTAAATATTTTAGATACTACTGATTTTTAAGAGATATTGAAGTTTTCTTAAACTAAAGTAGTTGGCAAAGCCAGACATGATGGTACATGCCTGTAATCCCTGCACTCAGGCGGCTGAGGCAGGAGGATTGCCAAGAGCTCAAGGCCAGCCTGAACTACATAGTGAGACCTTGTCTGGAAAATAATAGTAATAGTAATAGTTAATAAAAATAATAAAGTGTTTGGCGGTGTTCTAGCCATCTCCTGTTAAATGTCCAGATACTAAAACCAGTCCTAAAAGTTGATTAGAGGGATAAATGGAATAATAAAGGATGTATTATGCTTACGAAGGTATAGGTCCTTGGGGATACTTTTATTCATTTATTTTTTTTTAAATCTCTTTAAACACATGATTTGATTTCAGAAGGATTTAAATTATTTACCAAAACCTAAAGTGAATTAACTGATTTTTTGTTTGTATGTTTTTTGGATAGTGCTCCCAGAGAAAAATCTCAGAAAGCTATCCAAGATGAAATTCGTTCTGTGATCAGACAGATCACAGCTACAGTGACATTTCTTCCATTATTAGAAGTTGCTTGTGAGTATTATGTAACTTCTCTGTGACAGGGAAAAGACTACGGTACTGCTTTAAGAATTATCCCTTAATTAATTTTTTTCTTAATCATTAGTAAAATATAGGTGGGGGAAAAAGCATTATAAATAGCAAAATAATATGTAGTCTACAAAATATGGAAATACTGTAAAGAAAAAATATTCCATAATGCCCACTATTAAACATTTTCATGTATGGTAATTCTTTTCACTACTTTCATTTTCCTTTCACTACTTTTATTTTATCTAATACAACTATAGGTACTGTATCTTCCTTTTCTATATGAATTACTCTATCAAATATTTACCAGATGCCTACCATGTGCCAGACACTATTGTGGGTGCTGGAATGTAGCAGTGACAAAACTAAGGTGTCAGTTTTCTGATGGCTTACATTCATATTTTCTCATGTAATAATGCACTTATTGTAGTCTTAGTACTTTCTCTCCTTAACAAAACCTTGAGCATTTTGTAAGCTAAGATAGAAGAGTAGCATTTCCTGAGTTGAAATTTGCATTGAGGAAAATAAATTAGTGATTAGAAACCAGGTGAAAGTATCTCTTCTAACAATGAGTAGTTGAAAATATGTCCCCTATGAGAGAGGTTGAGAGAGTAATTTTACTTTAAAGAATTTTAATGATCTTTTCCCCAATTTAGGTTCATTTGACCTCCTGATTTATACAGACAAAGATTTGGTTGTACCTGAAAAATGGGAAGAGTCGGGTCCACAGTTCATTACCAATTCTGAGGAAGTCCGTCTCCGTTCATTTACTACTACAATCCACAAAGTAAACAGCATGGTGGCCTACAAAATTCCTGTCAATGACTGAGAATGAGATTAGGAAATGAATGTAATGTGAAAAATTCTCAAATGTGGTTTTCCTGAAACCAAGTCAACTATAGTTGATGATTTATTTCATTGGTTAATTTTTAGATGGGAAAAACCAACATACTTTTATGAACTGTGCATAACTGTTGCATTTTTGGAGTGCCTTTTTGACTTGCCATAAGGCTAACATGAGCACACTGCACATTGTTCATGAGGAACCAGCAGATTTCATCAGCACTGTAATGAGAATTCCTTTGAATGTGGTGATTGTAGGTGGAAAATCTTTTGCTGTAAAGCTACTTTGCTAATTCATTTTGGTCAAACAAGCTGGATAGAGAGATACTTGAATATAAAACAGCAAGCAAAGTCTGAATATTTAGAACTTCGGTTTAGATCCTGAAAGTAATGAAGTATTGCTTTATTGGGTCGTTTTGTCATTTTATTGTACAGTTCCAATATTGAAAAAAATTGTGTTGTTAGATTTTAATTTATATAACTTGAACCCATAAAGCAATGGATGTTTATATTGTTTAATTCCTGTAATACAGAATTCATAAAATTTTTAAAATGTTTTTTAAAATCAAGCTTTAAATGACAATGATGAAATAAACTTGTATCTGTTATGGTTTGAATTTGTCTTAAAGTATTTTGATATTCCTGTGATATGAAGAGATAAATGGTAGAATGGAAAGGCAAATAGTTATGAGGTACTTTGAATCTACTGGGTAAGTTTTGGTTATGCTTTCTTCATCTCAAAACAGTAGATACAAAATAAGCATTATTGTGGAAACAAATACTGGGTTATAGTACCTTTCTGTATTAGATTCACTGTCAGCCTAATTTTCCTTATGTAGTTAAACACCAGGCTTATTTACTTTGCCTTCATTAATACTCTTCATCAGTATTTTCTTTCTACTGAGTTCTCTCCTATTCCAAGGTCATTTAAGACAAACTTGTAAAAACTTTTATAATCTAGATCTTATTTTGTGATCATTTAAAACACAGTTATTAGAAACTCTTGTAAGCTCTTTATACTTGTTACCTCATTTAACCTTCATTGCTACATATGCGTACACAACATTACATAATAGTATCTATTAATGTGCAAGATTCTATATGCAAAGTTCCTGGATGACTGAAATAAGGTCTTAGCCTTTCTGAAGCTTTTGGTCTTCTATAGGATTTTTTTCTCCACTTTTTGTTTTGTTTTTTTAATATTTTATGTGTGGTGGTTTTGTTTTTGAGATAGGGCCTTGGTATGTAGAGTTTGGGCTGACCTTGAATTCACTATGTATCCAGGCTGGCCTTGAACTCTGCAATCCTTAATACTGAGATTATAGGTGTGTACCACCATACCTGGCTCAGTTTTTATTTTTATTATTACATGTTTGTATAGCATGATTACATTCCATATGGGGAGTTGGTACATGCATATAATATCTCAATATTTTTAATTCCCTTTTTCTTGATCACCTTCCCATTTGGGAACAGTCTAGCTCCCTATTTTCTGTTATCTTTTATTTTGCTCTTTATATTTTGTGTTTCTCGTATAAGAGAAACCATGTGATCTTTAAGCTTATGTGTCTGATTTATTTCACGTAACATTATGGACTTAAGGCGCACCCGTATTAATACAGTTGACTCAGATTTATCATATGGCAGAGTAGTACTTCACTGTGTAGACACCACATTTTCTCCCTCCATTCATGTTAGACCTATAGGCTACTTTCAAGATTTAGATATTATGAATTATACTGCTATAAACATGGGTTGACATGTATTACTGTAATATGTGTCTTTAGCTCTTCAGGATTATACCTTTAATTATACCTTTGGTGAAAAGGAATTTCTGCTTTCAGTTTTTTGAGGAATCTTGATACTGATCTCCATAGTGGTTGTACTAATTTACATTCCTGCCAACAGTGTAGAAGTGTTTTCTTTGTTTTTTTTCCCCGTGCATCTTCCCTAGCATTTCTTATTTGATTTTTTGATGGCCATTGTTTCTGGGTTAAAATAGAATCTCGGTGTTTTAATTTGCATTTCTATAATTGCCAACGATTAAACATTTTTCACGCATTTGTTGACCATTTGTACTTCTGAGAATTGTCTTCATTTAAGTTGCTCATTTTTTATTGGGTCTTTTATTTCAGAGAGTAATTTTTTTTAGTTCTTCTAGATAGGAGTCATTGGTCTGAGGAATAACTGGCAAAATTTTTTCCCTTTCTGTAGTTTGTTTCCTCACTCTGTTTTCTTTGTTGCACAGAAGCTTTTAAATTTGATACAATGCCATTTGTTAATGTTGGTACTATTCATAATGCTGTGGGAGTTCTGTTCAGAAAGTTCTGGTCTACACCTATGTCTTCAAGAGTTTTACCTATTGTATCTTCCAGCAGATTAAGCATTTCTCCTTTCAACATTTAGATTTTTGATCCATTTTGGTTTTAGTTTAGTAACCCATGCATTTGCAACTTCAAAAACAGCAAAAATTGTTTTTTTCCTTAATCAAAACTGCATGAATGGAAATGATATTGGATTAGGTACAATCAAGTCTAGGTTCCAAACATCAAGTTCAGTATAAAGTGGATACTATTAAGATTAAAGCATTCATTTGAATTCTTGGACTATTGACATTTGAAATTGAGTTTGTAAAGGAAAGCTGAACTAAAGCTTCAGTAAAGCTATGGAGATAAAAATGCTGGTTCTCTTTATAGGAAATAAAGTATGGAAAACAGTGATTTTCTAAAGCATTGAATGCCTTTTTCCTAACAGGAATAATAAAATGTGATTCATTCTTCTCCCTAAAAAACTTACCAGTAGCAACATTCTTTAATATGTAATGGTAATGCTTAAATGCCAGTTATCCATGTCTTTGGCAGACTACAAAAACAAAATGATTTTAATATTACCACTTGTGATTTATTATAGTACTGCTGTCTTTTTTAATTTAAGTCTAGAAATTAATGCTGTGGATTTAAATATTAGTCTCAGTAGTAGGAGCTGCCATATAGTCTCTTACCTGCAATTCACTTCCTTCTGTAGTACCAGTACTATATTAACTGGACTCTTGTTGGAAACAAGAAGTGGCTATAAGAACATCTCCCGATGGTCGAGTATTGGTGGCACAGAAAATCAAAGGAAAGGCTGAACATCTAAGGATAAGGACAGCTTGCAGGGTTCTCAGTGACAAGTTTGTAGACCCTGAATATCTTTCTCAAGCACATGGATTACTAACGTTATTTAGCTTAATGATTTTGACAGAAATGACACTAAAAAGCTTTGTTTACAGTCTTTGAGATGTAAGACTAAATTCTGTGAAATTATGTTTTTAAAAGTTGAGCATGTACTTTGATTACTTCTGTTGTCATTTACATGTTTACTCTTGTGAGGCTTCCAAGGATCCATTATTTCTTTTACCCCTAAGACCAATTATGGAATTTTTCAGGTGAGTAAGGAGTCAGATTGTGAGCTTCATGTATAAAGCTAGATGGGAAAAGCTTTGATCTAGGACTCCAGTTGCCCTTGTTCCTCCATCCTCCAGTCTCAACCTAGGAAGCAGCCGAAAGAACTGTGACACGCTCTGATACCATGTGGAGGCATAGAAAAGGTAAGGTTCTGAGACAGTCAGGTGGATCTCTAGATGAGGGCTGATTCTAAACTCAGTTTTGCTTACCATAGGCAGAGAAAGGAAATATTTTAGTTGATCAAAGTTTTGAATCAGTGTAGAAGGAATTAAACCACAGCTGATTTTAAGCATCTTTCCAGTGTCTTCAGTCAGAGAAGTCAGGCCTGCATGGGAATACAGAGTCCACCAAAGAAATGTATACACACTTCAGGAAAAGAAAAACTATAAATAATTTAACACTAAATTTATTGAGACATCATGAGAATAATACAAATTATGTCTGGCCTCTATAATTACAAGAGGTGCTTTAAGTGGTGGCCATTAGCTTCCAGACATTTATTAGCACAGTGAACTGGTGCTTGGGTAACCTTGGTCAAAGTGTTCACTGAGATTCCTGCACATGTGTTTTCAGTTTCATCTCTAAGGACCAGCAGTGTAGCAGTTTTCTGTGATACACAGTATTCTTTGGGGGTTCCCAGTGTATAAAAGTATTAAATATTTATACAAGCTTTTCTTTCCCTGACGTGTATATACATTTTTTTGGTGGACTCTAGGCAGAGGTTTAACAATCTTCTACATTTGTTGGCTTTTACAGCATAGTAAAAAACTATAGAATGTGAACAATATGCTTGCTTTTTTTAAAATTTTAAATCCATCCAAGGCTGGGTTAGCTACAGTGATTCTGTTCTCATTTTGCTTTTGGAGGGGCAGTGGGTAGTGAAGACTAGGCTTAGCTTGAAAACTTCACTACATTTGTGCAACATTCCACTGGTCAAGTATCCACACCAAAACATCATCGATGAACCTAAATAGTCTAGAACTGTCCAAGAATCCTCTGGGATTAGATGCAGGACCCCTGCAGAGATCAGAATCTGGGGCTGCTCAAGTCTCATATAAAATGTATTTGCATATAACACACATATCCTTTCATTAGTTTTTCTACTGTATTGTTTTGGGAATAATGACAAGAAATGTCTACCTGTTCAGTACAGGTACTATTTTTTAAAATGTGCCTTGAAGTTGGTTCCGTATGGTGAGGCAGAGTTGCAGATACGGAAGGTTAATCACATTCTGTGGTGGTGGGGGATAAGCAGCACCTGGACGTTTAACATGAGAGATCCAGTGGCCTGAGGACTGGCAAGCTGTAAATGGTCAGATTGCACATAGTTCAGGCTTTCCAGGCACATCATAGCTTCTTTTACATTTACTTGAGTCAGTTGTAGCTTGAAGGGAACCAGGGACAGTATGTCCACAGATGAGCACTGAGAGTGATTGTAGATATGTCGGTGAATGAGCATGGCTGTGTTTCAGCAACAAACACCAGGTGGCTTGGATTTGGCCCAAGAATTTTAGTTTTCCAACCGTTTACAGTATTATTAGATCACTACCTGCTTTTTCAGTCACAAATATTCTTGCCCATTCCTAGCCCAAAGCATTTTATTTTGTATCTTTTCAGGCTCATGGAGCATTATGTCACACAGGATCTCAAGTTAGATGTCTCTCTTGATTTTATTTCAATTCCATTTTCTCTGCATTACGACTGGTTACTTTTAGGTTCTTTGTGGGATACCCCATAGATAATTGTGAACTGAAAGCTTGAGAAGGAAGTCATTGGCGTGCATGCATAAAAAGAGACTTAGGATAGTGTAAAGGGGTCCATAAATTCTGCTACTTATTTTTTGCCATATGAACGTACATGTTAATGTTTTTATTAGGATGAACTAGTTTTCTATGTCCATTAACCTATGTATATTTGAACAATAATTTTTGAATCAAAAATTATTAATATATCCTAGACATTACTTCTTTACCTCCCATTTTCATTTAGTTGCTTAGAATATAAAATTTATGTTAAGTTTACATAATGAATCAGAATAGCTATGTAATGCTGCATTATAACTCCTGTTTTTTCCACCAGATGTCACTAAAGCTATAATGTTCAAATTAAGGTAAAGAGACAGGAATTCCCCATTCAGAAGCCCCGGGGACTTCTCTCACTGGGCCCTGTGC